CACCTGGTATGATTTAAATTTGGCTTTTCATACCTTAGGCTGGGAGAAAAGGAATGATTCAGTAATGGAAATCAATAGAGCACAGGACACAGAAGCCATGCCCCTCCATTCAGCTGGTTATGTGTCTACTTCAGCACTACAGGATGTTAAGAGGTATAGATCCAAAATCTACAGAAATTCATGGTGACTTGAGATGGTTTTCTTATTCTGGCTACAAATTTCAGGAGCTATTTTATGTAATTGATATTACAGATAGCAGCTCACCCAACATGTACCAGAAAGGAATGCCTAAAACAAACAAACAAAAAAACCCTAACCCCCCAAAAAAACTTCACAGAAACCACTTTTACCAGATTTATCTTCTTACTCTCCTTCCCCCACCCCCGCTAAAAGGAAAATACTTTGGGCTTGAATAGTGTGCACTGAGTCTCACAGATCTATAGCTAAGATTAGGTTTTTACTGAACTCAAAGCAATCAATGAAAGTAGTCCTAAAAATTAAGTAAAACCATAACAAGGATAAAATAGTTACAACACTGCACAACAAACCTGCTCTTGTTATTAGCTAAGAGAATCCTACTAGTGAAATATCCTTTGGAATTCTGCCCTTTTTCCTAAATTGAAAGTCACAGAATGCTATCAACTCCAAAAAGGGGAAATTGATCACATATTCCTGGCCCCCTTTTTTCCTTTATTTACACAGCAGAGTATCATGCCAAGCATTTAGAAGTTTAGGAAGCTGATTTGCAGTTCCTCCTGTAGGTCCTTACTACACTGCCCTAAACATTCCTCCTTCACCCTGGAAAGATGGAAAAGCACAGCATAGAAAGAGAAAAAAGAACAGCATCCTGCAACTAGAGACCAGACCATAATACACATGCACCAAAAAACACACCAAGAAAAGCAAAGCAACAAGTAATTTTAAATCTGGATACTGTCACTAACTGAATAACAACAGCATTAATATGATCTGGGGACGATGAAGCAAAGAGGTGATGGAGCACTAACACAGGCTCCTAAAAGACAGGAGAGAACAACAAACATCCCTTTAGAAAGAATGCTAGTCCTTTTGCTAGTTCTTCCCAGCAGCACCGGAACTCCTAATCTTTAACAACACATCTAAATTACAATGACTAACCCATTAGTTGGCAAGAAAGCAAAACAAGCCAAACCCCAACCACCTACTGAAGGCCAGACCAGCTGGGAGCAAATGCTGCAATAAGGTCTGTCCAGGGATCCAGCCCAGCTCTTGAAAATCAGCTAGTACTGGTGTTCTCTTGGTTCAGATAACGTCATGAAGAGCAGAAGGAAAGAAAGAGGAAAAATGGTAGCGTGCCCACAAAGACAACTTTCTTCTGGCAAAGCAGTATTGTGAGAGTCAGACCAAATTCAGCAACCCTACTATAACCTTCCCAGGAGCCAAACAATTCTCTTCCTGGTTTTCAGCATAATATAATTCCCATGATTGCTTTTACAGTGACACTGGTGTGGGCTTTTTCCAGCAATCACTTCACATTTTTTGCTAAGGTTCTAGCAATCACTTTACTTGTCTGTACAACACGAGGGACAGAGGAGGAATCACAATTTTCAAGTGCTTATGTCTCAGCAAAACTTAATTTCATGGGGCAAGGAAATCAAACCACTTATTTAGCCTAAGGACTCTTCCTTTTGACAACCTTCAATGGCTTTTGCAAACAATAGAGCTTCTCAAAGAGATCATACAATTTCTTTATAATGGAAACTATTAGACAACCTAAATATAGAGCTCATTACCAGTTCTCTCTATAACGCAGTATGTTAGGGTTCTATTCAGCATTCCTTATTCATGCTTCTAATGAACTTCAGCAGGAGATTTGTCCAAGTAAGGAATGATTATTACAACCCTAGGTTCCTCACATTTATACAACATCTTTCATCTAGAAGAATCTGACAATGTTTTAAAGGTCACATGTAGAAAATGACTATATTCAGTATAGTCTCCTATCAAGAGGAACACAGTAATTTCTCAGTACCCAAGCAACAATATAGAACAGTTTAGGTTAGAAAGTAAATAAGAAAGCCATGTCTACAGGGGGAATTTAGATCCTCAGTAACATTACCAAACTAAAGTCTGGCAACAGTTCTACAGCAAAAGGTCCAGGGATTTCCAGCTGGCAGCCAGGATCTTATTAGTTTATATCCGACTCATGGCACATTCAACTGGCACCATGCTGGGGCACTCCTTTAGTACTAACACACAGAAAAGAGTGCCTACTACCTTGGGGATCACTTACACCACTTCTTGCAGCATCCAGGATTTCTCCTGGACATCTCCCATCCAAGAACAGCCTGGTTTAATCATTCAAGGTGATACTGCCATGGACAAAATTAATTAAGACCATGATCCTATCTGCTTTGAAAATTCAGTTGTCTAGAAGCGTGTTAAAATACAATCAAGAAATCATGAGAATTATTTCCACTAATCTTAACAATTCCACTGGTTGTTAAAGATCATAATCCATGTCTAGCTTCTGGCATAAAAGATAATTCTTTCATAGAGAAGGAATTATTCAACAATGGAAACACCCACAAACCCTACCCACACCTGACAATATTTCTGTTGTTAATTAACATGACTTGTGTGCATGTGTGTGTATATATATATAAAAGACAACTGTTTTAATCAACTTTGCACTTAATTTCCAGGGGCCTTCAAAACCACTTAACTTCACTACGATTGCCTGTTTTTCCATCTGCAAATCTGGTCGAATTCAGTGAATTTTAACGTGCAGAAGCAGACAAACCATCCACCCCAAAGACTTCTCTGAACTAAAAAAGACCCCAGTACTTTACAGCATCCTGTAGACAAAGCTCTCAGTAAAAAAAAAACACAGTAGAAATTCTGAAGAACCACTGCACACTAAGAACTGTGCTGAAGCATCAACTTAATCTAACATTAAGCTTCAAAATGGAAGACTTAAAAAAAAAAACAAATTCACCGTGTCATCAAAACACCATAGCACTGTTATTCTGACCAACACTGATAGAAAACACGTTGTTGTACAGGCAGTACCAGCAAATGTTTTAACAAGACCCCTGTTTGGTGTCTGGGACTCCAGCTCCTTAGGGGAAAAAAGAAAACAATCCACCCAAATGGCCTTTTGTGTCTCTCTGGCACCCTAATGACTCCCTCCACAGACACAAAGGTCTGCTTACTAGCTCAAATCTGGTTTCTGAACTGGGGCCCAAAACCTCAACCTGCAGTTATCTCATACCGTGTGTACATCCTGGGCTCTACAAACATCTGAAAATGCAACCCATTTAAACCTAAGAGAAAAAAAGAAACCCATAAACCTACTCAGTTACACACTGCTTCAGAATTCAGGTAGGGAAACAAAAATCAATGTATCAGATAAAGGTCTGCCTACCAGACCACTGTGGGGGACAAAGTGGAAACAAAAAAAAAAGCAAAACCAAACAAAAAGACATTTTGCTGCTAATGTATTAAAAAATTATTAAATACTCAAGAGGGGAAAAAATAAGGCAATGATAAGACTGCCTTTTCAGGACTGTTTTATTTTTTCCACACTTCTTTGCCAGCTTGTTTGGTTTTTCTTTTTTTGTTTGGTTGTTGAGTCTTTTTAAGTTTCACTGCTTTTATCCAACTGAGTTTCCAATGCAGCAAAACATAATTTTCAACTGACTTCACCTATCGAACTGACTGGAGGGTACAGAGAATTTACTCCTGCTGTTTTAAAAGGTTTTACATTCATTATTTCAGCAGCATTATTTTGCTGAGCATTACCAATTTTACATTCATTATTTCAGCTGCATTATTTTGCTGAGCATTACCAATCTGCACTCATCTATCTGTGATACGAACACAGTGCCATTGTTATAACTGGAAACCACACTATACATGACAGATACAACTCCTCTCAGCACATTTATCTCACCAAGTTCCTTAGTTTAAAAAATAAGTAACAAGATAAAAAAAATCAACTAGCATTCAAAACCTTAAGTTATGACAAGTCCTTTAAACATTCATTCCGGTTTTCAGAAGTCTAGGATATCAAGTCTAGAAGTAAAGATGAATCATTCTTGTCAAGCAATTGAACCCAACCCTGCCCTTACAATTTCAAACATAACAGCATTTGTTGCAAGTCATATTCAGCACTGCTTTGACCCGTATCTGGAATGCAATTACTGTTTTTGATCAGATTGCAACTTTTATTGCCACTTAAACTTCTCTTGCTGACAGGATAAACCCGTAGGTATGATAACTGTAACAAAGGAACCTGTAGCAATATTTTCCTTAATGAGAACGCAACGGCTAAAAGTGCACTCCTGTTGGCATTTTAAACAGCCTCCGTTCCCCAGCCACACACGCTTAGGCCACAATACTGACAGACACCGCCAGACACAGGGACCAGGTAATCAACCGCAAGCTTTCCAACGAGTGCACAGGGAACAGGTCCTCCTGGGAAGTCAGGGATACGCAGGGCAGCACTTCTGCATGGCACAATCAACAATCCCTCCCTAAACAGCTGAAGGGTCTTATCCACCCTTACGGTCCCCAGAAACTGGCACAGTGCTGTGCTGTGATTAAAAACCTAATTAAAATAACATTAATAATAATTTTTAAAACGGAGGTATTTATAAGGCAAAGTTAAACTCACGGAAAAAATAGTTTAAAAGGGGGGGGAAAAACCAAGCATGGGAGGGCTACTGTCTTAGCGCACTCCACAAGGGATGGTTCCTGGGGGTGTGAGGGGCACGGCCCCTGCGGGGTCAGGCCGCGCAGGCGATCCTTCCCTTCCGGGTGCCTATTATCCCCGTTTCCACACACGACGGGGCGCCGCTCCCCGACCTGGGTCACGTTTACCGGGGCACCCCCTAGCCTGGGCCGGGACCTCCCCCGGTAAACGTAACCCGGTTTCTTCCACCGCCGCCCTCCCTCACAGCCCGGGGCGGCGGGAGGCACCCACGGCTCCCCCGGCTCCCCCTCCGCCGGAGACCCACCGTGTGGAGGTGCCCTTCCTCACGTCGCACATCATGCACTTGAAGGCCTCGGCGCTGTTGCGGAAGGTGCAGACGCTGCAGTCCCAGTAGCCCTCGTCCGAGGAGGGTTTCGGCTGCCGCTTCGGCCTGCGGAGACAAACGCGCGCCAGGGGCAACACCGGGCACGACGCCCTCACGCCGCCGTCTCCCCCCCCGGGGGCGCCCCGGCGGGCGCCATCGCAGCCGGCTCCGCGCACCCGGCCGCCGCGGAGAGGGCCCGGGGAGAAGAGGACGCGCCACCGCTGCCCCTACCTGGTCGGGCTCTTCTTGTCTCCCATGCCGGCTCCAGACGCGTCCCCGGCCCGGCCCTTTGTGTGTTTGTCAATAAGGAGGAGCGCGAGGGGGGTCTCTCGGCTCTAACGGGGACCCGGGGAGGAGGAGCCGCCGCCGCAACCTCCAGCTGTCGGGGAAACTCCTGCCGCCGCCGCTACTGCTGCTGCCCCCTCCCCCCTCACGTGTCCCCCCGCCGCCAACCAGCGCCCGCCCGCAGGCCGCGGCGCCCGGCGGGCCGCGCACGGCGGCAGGTTCGCAACCGCCGGCGGCTCGGGCACTGCGAGCCGGGCGGCGGCGGAGCCGGGGCGCCGCGGGGGCTGCTGGGGGCGGGGTGGAGCGGGACGGGGCGGGGCAGGGGGAGCCGCGGCGGGCCCGCGGTGGCGGGAAGGGGCCGGCGCCGAAGGACGGCCTTGGCGGCGGTTGGTGTGAGGGCGCCCCGCGGCCATTGTCCCGCCGGGGAGTGCGGCCAGGCCGCGGCGGGGGCGTGGCCCGCGGCGGTGCCGGGGTAGGGCGGGCGAGCGGGCGGGTTGAGTGGCCGGGCTGCGTGGCCGGGCTGCGTGGAGCCTGGCCGGGAGGTGCTGTCCCGCGGCTCCCAGCCTGGGTGGAGGCGGTGGCCGGGCCCCATCTGGGCGGCCGAGGGAAGGCTGCTGGGAGCCGGCGGACCTGCTGCTCCGCCCGTGCCGAGGGGGCCGAGGAACGCGCCGGATGGCCAGGGCAGAGCCGGGGAACCGGCGGAAGGGCTGTCCCGGGCGGGTGGGAATGCGGGGGTGCTGGATAAAACGAGCTGGCTGCGAGTACGAGCCATTTAAACTGGCCTGCAGGGCTCTCCGGAGAACTGCTTTTCTGTTAACAGCCGGTATTGCTTGCAGTAGCCTCTACATTGCCTTGGTCTCCTTCCCAAAGAAATTGCCTCAGGCCGTGCTTTGCAGTAAGAAAGAATCTGGCGGCGGGGAGCTGACCAGGAGGTTCTGCTTAGAAACCTTGGGCTAAACCAGCCCGTTCGCCTGAGGCGAGTGCAGAACGTGATGGGTACCCATACAAAACAGGAGAGAGTGGTGTTACCCAGTGCCTCCGTGCAACGTGGGGCTTCTGTGCTTAAAAGCTTACCAGTACAACATGGATCACTTGCAGCGTAGCCACATTGAACAAAACTCTGGTGTTTATTACCTGTATTATCTTAGTGCACAGGAGCCCCAGCCACAGGCCAGGATGCCATTTTGCAAGATGCTGTCCAAACAGAACAAAGAGCACATGTCCGAAGTGCACAACAAAGGGCGGCAATAGGCACAGGTAGATGGCAGAATGCAAGCAGACAATGGGATGATACTGGTCAGCATCGGAGGGGTCAAAGCTATTTTTGCTGTATTGTCTTTGTCAAGGAACGGTGGGGTCTTGAGAGCAAAATGCGCCTGAGGAGAGCTTTACCCAAGTGTCTGAAAAAGCCTATATGAAGATGTAGGCGCCCTTGAAATTAAGCAAGTGGACAATGGAGAAACTTTCTGATTCTGAAAGCAAAGTTCTCAAACATTGTTTCAGCTATAAATAAAGGGCTATGATGAAGGAAAAGAAAACTTAAGTAAAGAGCTTGAAGTCTTCTTAGGGAAGCAATATATAAATACCCATTAGTTGGAACATTACATTTATGTAAAAGTACTGATACTTTTACAAGTTTCTCAGGCTGTGTTTCTCTATCCATCCTGCACACCAGCAATTGGATGCCAGTGTAGTATGTCCTACTTATGCTTGGCCATTTACCCTAATTTCCTACGGTGTTCACATCCTGCTTCCAGTATTGTCATTTTCATCACCTACTTTTTTCCATTTTGCCTTGCCTTTTCTGTTCTTCCTCTATTGCAGTTTCTTCTATTATGCTTCTCATAGAGCCTTCCATAAATAATGAATGGGATGGATGGATTGCACATCCAAGGATGGGCTACGCCATGCACAGACAGCTGGCCTGGGTTAGTTGGTATGTAGTTAGACATCTCTATGAAGGAAGTGCCGAGGCCCAGCCCCCAGCAGGGAGGAACAGGCTTCTGCCAAAGGTGATTGATCTGATGCCAAGACAGACATGGTATTTTCTCACGGGGACCGTTTCTCTCCACTGACTGTAAAGAGAGCTTTGCACCAGTAACCCAGAACTGTACATCTACCCTTTAAAATTACAGAATTAAATTAGGTGACTCACCTGTGGTTGAAGCGCATGCTATGTAGAAATCAGTAGACAGGAAACAGTGGAGAAACCTGTCTCCTTGTGCCCTTTTCCGCAGTGTACTCTCTACTGTATAAACAAACATGTTATTTACCCACTTTCAGAAAGCAATTATTTTGAAACAACCTCTTGACCTTTCCTCTGTCGCAGTCTACTTTTTCCATACTGATTGTGAGAAACAAAACAACTTCCACTGAGGGTTACAAAATGCTGGGATATGCTGTAGTCCCCCTGGAACCATTCTTGGAGAGAACCATTTCCAATCAGCAGGAGGAATCGCAACTGCCAGCCACAAATGTTATCCCTAACAGCCAAGTAATCTTTCTGGTGGTTGTGTTCCAGACTTTCTGCTGCATGGCCATCACCCAAACCGCTGCACTTAAGGATCTTGGTGTTTTCCCAGCATCATTGGGCCTGTTTATCACTGAACTCCCAACTAATTCTTATTTAGTGAGCTCAAAGGTTATTCAGATGGTGCATTCAAAAGGTCAGGAGGATGGGTCATGGTGCTGCCTATGGTGCCCATGGGTTTTATTCTTGAGTAACACTGAAGAGGAAGGAAAGGTTGTTTTCCTCACACCTTGTTCTGTCTTCAAATAGGAGCACAAGAGAACAGCAGTGAGAGCACCAAGCCATCCCATATAATCTCTGCAAGTGGTGCTAGAAAGCATATTTTAGCAGTGATGCAGGGAAGCACATGTGTGTGCAATAGCCAAATGCTTAATCAAGAGATTTGGGAGGACTTTGCTACAAACTTAAAAGTTGAAAATACCATAGCTGGGTGTTTTGACATCAAGTGATACCTGTGTGAACCTAGAAAACTCGTATTTTACTGCTAAATATTTATATTACTGCCTGTGACTATCAACTGTGATCTTGACTCTAGACCATCCTTTTCTCCCATCTTTGTTTGTGTTCTGGTTTTTAAGAAATTCATAGCACATACAGCATTAAAGTTGTATTTGTGTTAATCTAGCAGTAAATCTTGTACCCTAATAAACAAGAGTTTATGTTTCTGATCACATTTTTTAAAGAATGCATTAATTTACTGTAAAGATTCAGACTGCTACTGCAGTTTAGAGCAATTTAATCCTATATTTTAAAATAGATATAAAAGTGGCTGATGCACTAGTAAAGAAGATCTCTACTGGTGCTGCCAGGAAAAAGCGGTGGGTCGTAGTAGTAGGGGATTCTGCTTTGAAAGGGACAGAAGTACTCGTCTCTCAGCCTGACCCGGTCTCAAGGCAGGTGTGTTGCCTACCAGGGGCACGGATCAGGGATGTGGCAGAGAGGCTGCCTGCCCTAGTAATCTCCATGGACTATTACCCACTTCTGGTGATACATGTGGATGCTAGGGATATAGATAGTAGTAGCCTGGGGAAGAGAAAGAAGGACTACAGAGCCCTGGGAGAGGTGGTTAAGGGCTCTAGAGCTCAGATAGTCTTTTCATCTATTCTCCAGGATACAGGGGAGGACCTAAAAAAAGCTAGGAGGATTAGCCAGGTTAATAAATGGTTAAAAGGGTGGTTTCACAGTCAGGGGTTTGGGTGTCTTGAACACGGGACCCAAGTTTGTAGGCCAGGTCTAGTGGGGGCTGGTGGAGCTGGTCCGATAAAGAAGGGGAAGGGCAGTTTTGGTAGGAGGCTTGCCAGACTGGTCAAGAAGGCTTTAAACTAGATGTGTTGGGGGCGGGGGGCATCATTCCATCCCAACACTCCCAGTCAGTTGTCAGCACCTATAATAAATGCTTGGAGCAATGTAGAGATATTCCAGCTGCTCCAGCCAATGAGCCGGCTTCATTTGGAGCTTGGCTCAGATGCCTCTATACAAATGCCCGTAGTGTGGGGAACAAACAAGAGGAATTAGAGATGTGTGCTCATCTACGGGGGTATGATATAATAGGCATTGCAGAAACATAGTGGGATGGCTCCTATGACTGGAGTGTTGGAATGGAAGGTTACAGACTAAGACAGGCCTGGCAGGCACGGAGGGGGAGTTGCCCTTTATGTTAGGGATAGGCTGGAGAGTATGGAACTCTGTCTGGGAACAGGTGAGCAGATAACAGAGAGCTTGTGGGTCAGGTTTAAAGGGAAAACAGCGATGGGAGACATTACTGTGGGGATCTGTTACAGACCACCTGATCAAGAGGAATCTGCGGATGAAGCACTCTATAGACAGATAGGAAAAGCCTCACGCTCACAGGCCTTCGTTCTCATGGGTGACTTCAACCACCCTGACATCTGTTGGAATGACGGTACGGCCCGGCACAAGCAATCCGGGAGGTTCCTCGATTGTGTGGAAGACAACTTCCTTCTGCAAGTAATAGAGGAACCGACAAGGAGAGGTGCCATGCTTGACCTCCTGCTCACCAACAGGGAAGGGCTCGTTGGAAATATGGCGCTCCAGGGCAGCCTTGGATGCAGCGATCATGAGATGGTCGAATTTGAGATCCTCAGGACAGTGAGAAGAGCGTGCAGCAAGCTCACTGCCCTGGACTTCAAGAGAGCAGACTTTGGCCTCTTCAGGAACCTGCTTAGTAAGGTTCCATGGGATATAGCCCTAGAGGGCAGGGGGGCTCAAGACTCTTGGTTGGTCTTCAAGGATCACCTGCTACAAGCTCAGGAGTGTTGCATCCCAACTAGAAGGAAGTGCAGCAGGAGGGCCAGGAGACCTCCTTGGATGGATAAGGAGCTCCTGAGGAAAATTCAAATGAAAAAAGAGTCTTACAGAAAGTGTAAGCAAGGACAGGAGGCCTGGGAAGAGTACAGGGATGTTGTCCAGGAAGCTAGGGACCAGGTTAGGAAAGCTAAGGCCCAGTTAGAATTAAACTTGGCTAGGGATATTAAGGATAACAGGAAGGGATTCTACAGGTACATAGCAAATAAAAAACAGATTAGGGAGAACGTAGGCCCCCTCAGGAAGCTCTCGGGTGAACTAGCTACACAGGATTTGGAGAAGGCTGAGGTTCTGAATGACTTCTTTGCCTCGGTCTTCTCTAGCAAAAGCTCTGACCGCACCACCCAAGTCCTGGAAGGGAGACACAGGGACTGTGAGAATGAAGACCTTGGGCCCGCTGTAGGAGAGGATCTGGTTTGAGACCATCTTAAAAATCTGAACGTACACAAGTCCATGGGTCCTAATGAAATCCATCCGCGGGTCCTGAAGGATCTGGCAAATGAAGCTGCTAAGCCGCTGGCCATCATATTTGAAAAATCATGGCAGTCAGGTGAAGTTCCCCACGACTGGAAAAAGGGAAATATAACCCCCCATTTTCAAGAAGGGGAAAATGGATGACCCGGGGAATTACAGACCACTCAGTCTCACCTCTGTGCCTGGCAAAACCTTGGAGCAGATTCTCCACGAAGGCATGCTAAGGCACATGAAAATCAACAAGGTGCTTCGTGACAGCCAGCATGGCTTCACTAAGGGGAAATCCTGCCTGACCAATTTGGTGGCCTTTTATGATGGGGCTACAGAACTGATGGACAGCGGTAGAGCAGTTGACATCATCCACCTGGACTCGTGTAAAGTGTTTGACACTGTCCCACACGACATCCTTGTCTCTAAATTGGAGAGACATCAATTTGATGAAGGGACCACTCGGTGGGTAAAGAACTGGCTGGATGGCTGCATACAGAGTTGTGATCAATGGCTCAATGTCCAGCTGGAGACCAGTAACGAGTGGTGTCCCTCAGGGATTGGTGTTGGGACTGCTCTTGTTCAACATCTTTGTTGCTGACACAGACAGTGGGATTGAGTGCGCCCTCAGCAAGTTTGCCGATGACACCAAGCTGTGTTCGGTTGATACGCTGGAGGGAAGGAATGCCATCCAGAGGGACCTTGACTCCCTTGTGAGGTGGGCTGATGCCAAACCCATGCAGTTTAACCATGACAAGTGCAAGGTCCTGCATTTTGGCCGGAACAATCCCAGGCACAGCTACAGGTTGGGCAGAGAAGAGATTCAGAGCAGCCCTGCGGAGAAGGACTTGGGGGTGCTGGTTGATGAGAAAATGAACATGAGCTGGCAGTGTGCGCTTGCAGCACAGAAAGCCAACCGTATCCTGGGCTGCATCAAAAGGAGTGTGGCCAGCAGGTCGAAGGAGATGGTCCTGCCCCTTTATTCTGCTCTCGTGAGACCTCACCTGGAGTATTGTGTGCAGTTCTTGTGTCCTCAACATAAAAAGGACATGGAACTGTTGGAAAAAGTCCAGAGGAGGGCCACGAGGAGGATCAGGGGACTGGAGCACCTCCCATATGAAGACAGGCTGAGAAAGTTGGGGCTGTACAGCCTGGAGAAGAGAAGGCTGCGTGGAGACCTCATAGCAGCCTTCCAGTACCTGAAGGGGGCCTATAGGGATGCTGGGGAGGGACTCTTCATGAGGGACTGTAGTGATAGAACAAGGGGTAATGGGTTAAATCTTAAACTGGGGAAGTTTAGATTAGATATAAGGAGGAAATTCTTTCCTGTTAGGGTGGTGAGGCACTGGAATGGGTTGCCCAGGGATGTTGTAAATGCTCCATCCCTGGCAGTGATCAAGGCTGGTTTGGACAGAGCCTTGGGTGAGATGGTTTAGTGTGAGGTGTCCCTGCCCATGGCAGGGGGGTTGGAACTTGATGATCTTAAGGTCCTTTCCAACCCTAACTGTTCTGTGATTCTATGATTCTATATGGCACATGACCTTGATCTTTGAATGACGAAATTGGTGGCATCAGTATGGACAGTCTAAAGAAATGTTTCAGGGAATGAATGAGCCTTTATTTTGAATTCCCTTAGGTTTATGTTTGATTTTATCTAGCAATACAGTTGTTCCAGAATAGTTATTTGCACCCTATTTTAATTCAGCTGAGCTAAAGTAAACACATCTTCACCACAGAAAGGCTGGGCAATATAACTTTATCTTTGTACATCAGGCACTCACTCTCTAGCTAGTGTTTGGTCTCATTATCTTAAAATTGACTTTTTTATAGCGTTGTATGAGGGAAATGCTCATGGTATGATTATGATATTGAAGATGATATGCTGATAGCTTTGTGGAAGTTAAAGATCTAGTAATATTTTCAGCATCTTATGGTATAAAATGTTCTTGCATGCATGACTTCTCACTTCAATATTTGTTCACATTAAAAGGGATGTAAAAGGGTATGGTAGCAATTTCTAAGTATCTTTTTGTGTGAAAATTCTTGCTGCAGAGAAGATTATAGTTGTTCCTGAAAAAAACTGTCCACATACAGTTATTTAAGAATAGGCTGTTGCTGCATAAATCCATATGAAGATATGCCAGTTAGTCAGTACTGGCACCATTGTTGTGCACATCAAACCTGTGGCAGTTGCTGCATTACCAGCATCTTGAGCAATTAAATAATCATTTCATCACTGCTTGAGTTTAAAAAACTGTCCATAAAGACAATTATCATTGTATTGTAGATAAACCATCTTTTAATCCCTGTTCATAAAAATGAAAACTAGGTAAGTATAAAATTGCACTGGAACAAATGCACATTATTCCAGCACAGTGTGTCTGTTTTACTTGGGTTGTACTAATAAAATCAACACAATTAAATCTCTTCATGGGAATTTGGTGAGGGTTTTTTAACATGCTTGGTATACCAAGGTCCAAGTCCTGTCTGGGCTTCTGTATGCTACTGCACTGCAGAAAACCCCAACCGAAACCAACCAACCAACCAAAAATCAGAGCTTTGAAAAGTAAAAGATACTTGCAGACCCTCTAATAAAGACAGTAAGGCTGGTGACAGTGAGAACTGCCTGTCCAGCCTCAGCCTTGGGGTCAGCCCAAGCCACCACAAACGCATCAGTAGCTGCTGGCAGTCCATGCTTCTCTTAATGTGTGGAGGCAGCAGAGGGAAATTCTGCTTTAGAAAGGGCTGGGGCTGAGAGCGACCACATATGGAGTACATTGTAACCTGAAAGAGCCTAAAGCATGTTTTAAAAGAGTTTGTACTTTATTGGGTGTACAAACCTGACCTAAACACATTGAATAATTTTTAGGGAACTATTGTATTCACAAGACTTGGCTCACCACTGTATCCTTCAGGTTTCACACAGTTAGAATACCCCTGGCATCAGCAGGGATGTGCTCTCATGAACCTGGAGTATCACAGAGGTGAATAAGTCCAGGAGTCTTTCTAGGGCCATAATTTGACTCTTTGTGTGAATTTGGCTCCAAACACATAAACCAGAGGATTTTACATAGATCACTCATGGGTTATATATAGCATGAGAGCAGTACTCGTGTGTGTAGGATCAAGAAAAAATTGACCATAGTGGTAATGTTTTATATTTGTCCTCTGTGGACTGGAATGAAATTATCAAACCACTTAATATTCAGATGCTTGGTAACTAGCAAATAATTCTTTCAGTTACTGCCTATTTCACATTCCCTGTCCTGGTTTGGGCACAGCCTTTATCCTTGCAGATTTTTCAGTGAATTTCAAAGATGAAGAATGTTCAGCTCTATAATCTCTCCCCTTCATTACAGAAAACTCTTAGAAGTTTCCCTACTTGTTCCATTCAGCCTCTCTCAGAGGCAATCCGAGATGTGAAGGATCACTGCTAGGAATAAAAGAACATTCTCAGCACTCATTAAATATTTCTGGTCCTTTTGCTGTGATTCCCAGGCATGGTCGTGCACATACCAGTCTTTTAGACTGAAAATGGTAATTCATTTCAGATAGGTCACTAAAAATGGTTAATAAATGCTACTGATACTTAATTCTTCTATCATATCTCTCACAGGAGAGGTGTGCTAAAAGAGGTGCCTGTGCCAAAGAGAAGTGCTTGTGAATGCTGAATTGAAGCTATGCTAGGAGATAGCTTCAGGCACAGGAAAGCTGTTCACACACCCTGTGTCTGGACTTGAGCCGGTGGAAGTTTCTGTCCTAACAAATGGTGAAAGATTGGCTTCTCCAGGGCAAATGGTTCAAAGGGGTAAAGCTGAGGTCTGGCTTTGAACCATCTATAAAGGCAGCAGGCTCAGTAGCCTTTGTAGATTTGGATCGCTGGGGTTAAAGGAACTGGAGTGAAGCAGCCTGTATTACCTCTTTAAATTTGGGTCTACATCTTTCCCTGGCTGCTCCCATCAGGGTGACTTGAGGTAGTATATATTGCATCCTTTCCCGAAGGGGGTTAATTTGGATGAAGCTGGAGCACCCGGAGGAAAAATGGGTATGCATTGCAGAGGCTCTTTTAAACAGAAACAATTTCTGTCTTCAGCTACCAGTTCTTGCTGACATCAGCATAACATCTAGTCGGTTACAGGGGTGAACACATACATACCTTGATTGGCAAGCCAAGCTCCCTCAGGGCTATATGAGAGAAAAAAACATAGCCCATTCTCAATGCTGTCTGTTCAGGTCTGCTCCCTGATTTCATCATCTGCCTTTATTCCTCCTACTTTGGTCCCTCTTTCCCTCTCTGGTACTTGTCATTTTCCTGGTTGGTTCCTTTTTTTTCCCTTTTTCATTCTCATCTTTATGCATTCTTTCAGCCTCCTCCCTGTTTTCTTTTCCTCTACATCTGAGATTTATCTTTTTAGCTGTTTTTCTGTACTAGTAATTCTGCCTACTCCATCCTCCAAGTTCTCTTTCTGTCATGTCTCACTCTTCTCTTGCTTGCCTTTCACCTTCACTGATGCTCTCTGTTTTAGGAGTTGTTTTAAAGCATTAAAGTCTGGCCAGAGGTTGAGTTTCCTATTTTTGTGTTGGGCAGGTGGCAGGCTTCCAGTGGAAAGAGTGCCAAAGGAAGAACAGCAGCCCAGAGGAGACTTCACACTTTACAGCAACATTTAAAGCATTCTGAATCTGATTAGGGGATGTGGCTGAAAGTCACATCGCTGCCTGGTCCTACATGGCATTTTTAAAAAGCTGTCAGAGCAAAAAATGAAATACTGGAACTAAAGCCCCTAAGCAATTCCAGCTTCAGTGCAGTACTGCGACGTCGTGTCAGTCAGCACGCAAACACCGACTGCAACGGCTGGATTCACAAGTGCCATAAGCCACCTTTGGATCAAAAGTGCCGTTCAATTTTTCTCACTTTAAATCTCTTTCATACATTCCTCTAGATTTACTTTGAGATCAGAATTTGACTTACAGGCATTATCTCTGACAAACAAAGGGGAAAGCGTGAATGTGCAGCACTGTGGCATCAGGAGGGAAAAAAAAAAGGAGATTGCAGATGTCCTGCTTTTTTCAGATGTAATAGAAGTAGTGAATGAATAAACCAACCTTCTGTCAGAAAAAAGCATACAAAGGTAACGAGTCCTTAAGCAGAATGCCTTCTCTGTGTGTAATAAAAAGCATATTTCACTGCTCACAGCTATATATGCACACATACCCACACAGAGACATGGGTACATAAATATTCAAAACAGCTGCAAATTTGACTTAAAAGGTTTTCCATATCAGCTCACTACGTTTTCAGTATGAAATACTCTGATGTAAGAGATCTTCGTGGAAAACCTTTCAAGTCCCCTTTTCTAGTTTCCATGTTACTATAGGTAAGGAAGAGAATGATGGATTTAGTAAAGGTGCAGCACTCAGGAGTGCTGGTAAGAGATCTCACTTTTCTTTTTTGGCTTGGAATCCCTAGCTTTGTCTCAGTTTGGCAAAAGATTATATCCTTCATGACATAATGCATGTCGGTATCCTCTGTTTCCAGCCCTAGTGTTACACTTCCATTTTTCCTTTCTTTTTCTCCTTTTAATTAAATGAATATAAAATATAGCATCTACCAATAAGAGGGATAAAAAAAAAAGCACAGGGATCAGATCCAGTTAACAGAACACAGCACTCTGTGGGTTCAGAATCAAGGCTGGGCAAGGAAGCCTGTCCCATGAGGAGAAGATAATTTCCCTGCCATCGCGTTAAGGTTATTGCAATGCCAGCATCCCTAAATAACCACCCCTTTGTCTCTCTCCCCATCTTTTTGGTTGGATTTGTATTGCTGCCAAGTGCAGGACTGGAGTGTGCAGAGACTCAATATTTGGTAGAAGTGCTTTAGAGAGCTTATTTTTCAAAATAAATAAATATATAGATGTGAAATAGTAACAAAGTTCCTTTAATTAATGCGGAGCATACCCTCAGGCTTTGCCTGTAGGTTCAGAGCACTGTCTGTAGTGAGCCCATTGCACTGACAGGTGGTCTGGGGCTGAGAGAAGCAGAAATCTCCCAGAGGAACCTGTCAGTCGACACGGATCGGTGTTGATTCCTCCTGTTAGGTAATTGCTCAAGTAGAAGAGTCTCCAAATTGTTCAGAATTCAAGAAGAACTGATCAAATAAAAGCCTCTGCTCCTTCAGTGCTGCTATTTTTAAGATGATTTAAACCTTAAAAAAAAAAAAAGAAAAAAGGGTGCTGTGAAAAAGAGTATTGCAATTATCAAGATTATCACTGTCACTGGAAGTTCAACACTGAGGTCAGACACTTCTTCACAAAGCAGCTGCACTGCATGGTCTGACTGCTGCTGTCTTGCCTGCAAATGATGGGGAGGCTGCGCGGCCAATGCTGCAAAGCACACACACCCCTGGTGCCAAAGCTCTGCTCGCAAGCTAAACTGCTGCTCTCTGCCTGCTAAAAAGGAAAAGGAAATGTAGTTACACAAAAGGGAGTTTGAGAAATGACAACTTTTGCTACTTAATTCTGCACTGGAGTTATCATCATCTGTAGCCATTACGTGCATTTGACTAACCCCCAGAATGCTCTCTTGCAGCCTTACAAAGAAATCTTCAAAGAAACCCTGGGATCAAGGCAGTGTAAGCACAAGCTTTAAGTCAGCTTTGTGTGACAGCTTCTGATTTATGCTTTCAAACATACCGACAGATCTCTGCCTCGGTTGTTAGTTACAACTTGCAAAATATATAAGGACATGCAATGCCTTAATATACCTCTACCAGAAGAATAAAATCTTTATAATACTCTGTTAATTTGGATGGTTTGGAGAAGAATTACATTCTCCTGAAGACTGGATTTATGAAAAGGCTATCTAGAAGCTTCTATTTTTAATTAATGGCAAACTCTGTAGCATTCTAGACAGCTTTAATGTCCAAATTTGTTCTCACTAGGTCTATTTAATTACTCCTATTTTCATATAACCGTTGATACATATTGCTAAGAATGAAGTGTTAAATGTCTTTTTTATGATACCAGGGGAACATACAGTAAAGGCTTTACCATTTCCCTTATCCTTGGGGAAGTACTTAAGCAGATTAATTAATAATGTGAGTTACTAGCTTTGTAAAGCTACAACAGAATATTTGTTGGCTGTACACTTAAGAAGACTTCAAACAAATTCAGTGGTTCTATCTCTAGTTCAATTCTTTGAAAGAAACAAAAAAATCCTATGATTAGATTTATTTGCTGGAAAAGAAGCAAAGTTAAGAAAAGAGAGGTGGCAGAAATTCTTTAGCCATGTCTCTCATTAATGTGCAGTAAAACAAGCCAGATACCCTGCTTGGGTTAGCCATGTCTTTATGTCAGCTTTTTGACCTGTACACTTAACTCCAGATAAGAATCTGTCCCTGTGTAACTAGAAGATCACAAACTGTAGAGGAGGCATAGGAAAAAAGGCACCTCAATAAGGCAGTGTCAGGAAATGATTGATTGACTTTCTGTTCCCTTGGTAACCTCAGGAGGTCATGTACAAGAGAGGTTGTGGAGCTTCAAAGTCTAAAACCTGCACGTATTCAAAGAGCTGTGTTCTGTCTTCTTAGGAGTTTGCCTGGGACACTAGCCAGAATAGCACTGCAACAGCACCTGACAGATAAAATTAACGTATGAATCATAATCTCTCTGGTCTGCCAAGCTAAGCTTTATGTAAGTTGTAGCTTTGAGATAGATTGCAGTTTATAATTTGATGGCATGTCCAAAAGCTAACTATCCCTTAGTTTCAAACAGTGTTGCGGAAAGGTCGTGTATTTGCACTGGGGTACAAACATGGTTTTGTATGATGAAAATTGAGTAAAGGGAGTTCAAAATCATAATGGTTTCTACTGTTTAAATTCAAATGAAATACCAGCTGGACATTTGCCAGGATAAGATATCATTCTGACAGAGCAGAACACTCAAGTGGAACAAGTGAATACTTTGGATTAGTCTAAAAGAATAAACGGCATCGTAACACTTACCAGGCAGGGAAAATGTGGAATGCTTCAAAAACAAGCAGTCAAAAGAGCAATGATAAATGATTTAAATGGAACTTGCAACACGTAATTCTTGATGTTTGAAACCCTTTTCTTAGATATGAGGAAGAAGACAGGCAGACTAGACCTAGAAGAAAGCCCATTATAGGGTAGAAGGGTATTATTTTCATTAATGCTAGCATTATTGATAGGTTAATCTTCCAAAACAAATCTACTTAATCTATAATCTTTGAAGCTATGGAGTTGGTTGAGTACCACAATAAGTATCACACTTCCAATTTTCATTTTAGATGCTGCAGTAATCAAAGGATGATATAGCTTCAAAGAGGAATACAACTTAGTTTGAAGTTCAATTGAACATGCTCATAACGGAGCAAACACTGGGATTTTTTTGGTTGGCTTGACTGGGACAAGGCATGAATATAAAGAAGTCTTCAATTAACAGATTACCTTGATATACATGACTAATTGGTAGCCTGAATATAGGGTTAGGTAAACTAAACACTTTGTAACTGACAGCAAACTGCCTGCTTAATCAACACCAATGAAAAAGACTAATGCAGTCCAAGAGTTTTTCTCTCTGTTCCTAAATATGCAGCAGATTCGTATCTTTTAATGAGTGTTGTAATCTATAGATCAAAGGATAAAGTAGTATAGAAATAAAGCAGACTAATCGATTTATAATTCAAAGCATTCTTAAAATTAAGATATCGACTCACAAAAGTAAAATAGCCATCAGACTTCAGTGCATGAATATGTATTTACTTTTAGTCTCTTTGGTAACATCTAGTCAGGACCTGACATTCAGTTCATCATTTGCAAATACAACCAAATGTGTGAAAAGGGGGATCTAGATTTTGATGTGAGCATCCATCACTAGGTGCAGTTCATATCTTTCCTGGCAGTACTTTCAGGTAAATGACTGATATACATTCTCAATAGCAATGCCAATTTAACACTGATCTGTGCGAATTATTTTAAAAGGTTTTACATGGGAATATTTAGCAATAAAACACAGAAAGAAACTCAGTAAGAAGACACAGCTTTGTGCTGCTACCTGGCAATGTAAAGCAAATACAGTCATGAGCTAGGCCAGGCCTACAGCTGCTTTGCATTATTGCGGGAACCAGCACCAGCCAAAGAGCCCTTATAAACCTGATCATTAATTGACTCGCAGTCAGGCACAAAGATCCTTCACAAGAATGATGGGGACTTGGTGGTAATTGTGTGTGCTGTCAGGGAGAGCTATTAACAGATGAGGCCGGTGTCCCCGACTGATTTTGCCCAATTAAACTGAACCAGGCAAATCTGTGAGTGAGGAAGGATGATGCTTGGCTTTGTTACCTCCAGTGTTATATGTCGAGGTATAGCTCTGCACATGGCTATTGCCTACAGCAGTTTCTATACCAGTCCTTAGTGACGTACAGCCAGTGTATGTTCTCCAGCTGAAGCCTACATGTGAGATTTCAGGAGCTTTAACTCTACAGAAGTTTGAATGCTCCTATTTTCCTATGGTTGAACAGAAATGTGGCATAAAAGACTGGCAAATGGCAAATTTCTAAAATTACTGGGTTTGGTTTAGGTTCTTTCTTTGGGGGGGAGGGGGTAATTTTTAAGTTAAAAATTAACTGAAACATTGTAAGTTGTCACAAAACCTGCTATATCCGAAGAATAACTGATGCATCCTGTGAAATTTGCATCCCGTGATCCATGCAAAAAGACCTTGAACCTTAGTATGTACAAAGAAAAGAAGTTTTGAGTATTGAATCATTCACTCAGATCTCAATAAGAAGACACATACCACAAACATATCAGTACTCTATGTTCCTTACAGGACATCTGAGGTCTGGAAATAAGAATGAAACCCCCCCCAATCACCTATGGTGATGATATTACACATTAGATAAGCTTTCTCTGATGTTCAGAAGGTGTAGGAAGGGTTGGGGTAGTAGGCGTAGTCAGGATGATCTCTCACAGCATGCTGCAGCTTCAGTTTGAAGTCCTCAGTAAAGAGCTTAGAAGAATTCTTTCTGGCCCGTCCAATCACAGTGTCTTCGATGTGCTGATGAATGGCGTTGCTATACAAAACCTCCAAGTTCAGAGGCAACCTTGAAACACCTGCTTCCAGTGCTATCAAAGATGGGAAGCATTGTAAAGCTAATGTTACCCGTACAAAGATGAACAGTAGGGACGTCGGTGATAATATGAGTGTGCTGCAGCTGTACCTGGACAGTGGGAAAGCCGGGGAGTTAAAAGCAAGAGACAGTCAGTTCCAGAAGATTGTCTGGGTGAAATACTCCTTTTGTTGTCTGCTGGTTTATTTAGTTTTTAATTGGCGAGGAAGAGGGGTCAGATTCGGATACCAGGAGGCTTCCAAAAGTCCAGAGTGTCAGATACAAAGGAAGTCAGTGTCAGGTTTTTATTTTCTTGAGGAAAAAAACCCTATCAGTTACTAACGTTGCTTTATTAGATACACACTGATTTTAAGAAGCAACTGAGCATTATACAGCAGGTAATAAGCTGTGTCATAGCAGGGGGGTTCTGTTGCATATGAAATATTTTGCACAGGCAAATAAGACTGCACAGTCACTCTCTGTTTGAAATCTAATAGAGATAGGAAGAGTCAGAGCATTTGTAAAAAGCAGTGATGCGCCGTATGTTTCATCTGTATTAGGATAACTGCGTTGCAAAACATTCTTCAGCTGGGAAGCCTGGATACATTACTCCAGGATACCAGCAACTTCTGCAAATGTTTGCAT